TGCACATGACTCAATGTACCTCGTGACGTCATGAAGGACGTCGGGCCAGTGAAAACGCTGGCGGAGGCGTGCTAGTGTGCGGTTCACGCCAAGGTGTGCTGAAAGTCGTGCGTCGTGGAATTCGCCGAGAAGACGAGTCCGTAAGATGCGATCTTGGGGCACAACTAACAAGTCCTTTCCTCTCGTGTGAAGGAGAAGGAACCCGTCGGAAATCCGATAGTGGCTAGCCGACGGGTGATCCGATGAAAGCTCTGCGTAAAGCTTAGAGTAAGTCGGATCGGACTTGTAGCCTTTGACAAAATGCGGCTGCCGATCGTCATCGAGGTTGAATGTCGTGGTCACAATGACACAAAAGTCGGGCCGCCGTGAGAGGGCGTCCGCARCTCGATTGGCGGGACCGGGAATGTGGCACGGGTCAAAATCGAACTGGTCGATGTAATACATCCATCGACCGATCGTGCTAGTGACCGTGTCTTGCGTTTTATAAAAGGTCAACGGATTGTTGTCCGTATTCCATTTAAAACGCCGACGGTCGAGAAGAAAGTGGCGCCACCGTTTGAGAACGGTGACCAACGTGAGTAGCTCTTTCTTCCTAGCGTCGTCGAGAGTGTTGACGAGAGGCACCTTTTGGGAGAAATACTCAACCGGATGCCAACCGTCCTCGTGACACTGTTCCAACACCGCACCAATACCGTATCCCGAAGCGTCCGTAGTCACTTGGGTGGGTAGGGTCGGGTCGTATATACGGAGGGCAGGTGCGGCTTGCATTGCTGCCTTCAATGTAGTGAACGCGCCACGGGCTGCGTCATCGAACTCGAAGGGCACCTTCGGGGACTGAAGTCTCGACAAAGGAGCGGCCACTTTCGAGTATGACTCGATGAATCGCTGATAATATCCAGCCAAGCCCATGAAAGAGCGTACATCGGTCGTGCAACGGGGTTCCGGCCAATCCACGATGGCTTGGATCTTGTCCGCTAAGGGACGAATGCCTTTCGGCGTGACAAAATGACCCAAGTACTCAAGCTCTTGCTTGGCGAATTCGCACTTGTCGAGATTCGCTTTGTACTTGGCTAGTCGCAAACGATTGAGAACAACGCGAAGGTGTACGATGTGCTCGTCCAACGTCCTACTATAAACCAAGATRTCATCAAGGTAGATGAGGACGCTGCGATCGAGGAAGTCGCGAAACTCAGTCGTCATTGCTGCTTGAAACGTTGCGGGGGCATTGGTGAGGCCAAAGGGCATGACAACCCACTCAGAATGCCCGTACCGCGTCTTGAACGCGGTCTTGTACCGGTCTTGAGGCTGAATTTCAATCTGGTGGTAACCTGACTTCAAGTCCAACTTCGAGAAGTACGTCGCGCCGCCTAACCGCTCAAGGAGATCATCAATCCGAGGAAGAGGGCCGGCGTTCTTTACGGTTTGTGCGTTAAGTTTTCGATAGTCGATGCATAACCGTAAATCTTTGTTCTTCTTCCGGACGAAGAGAACAGGTGCACCGCATGGCGAGTAACTAGGGCGAATCCAGCCCTTGTCGAGAAGATCATCGAGTTGTGCGCGAAGCACCTCGAGTTCCTCTTCGCTCATGCGGTAGATACATCCACACGGAGGGACGGCGCCA